CGTAATGGAACATACTGCGTATGTTCGTATAGAAGTTCGTGAATATACCACGTACATTCTATGCGAATATTCATAGCACATTTACAACATTCCATAAACATTCGTAGCACATACGCTGCTAATATTCCACGTATATTCAGTAAGAATATCCGTAGAAAGTTCCATGTGTACATTCCACGTACATTCTGTAAGAATATTCATAGAACATTCAGAATATGCCATGTAGACACTCAGGGAACATTTAATGCGAATATTCCCTGGGCATTCTGTGTGAATGTTCATAGAATATGAAGAACATTCTAGAAACATTCATGGCACATCCATGCGAATATTCCTGAGAGAGAACATTCGAATCATATACAAACATTCATGGAACATTCGGTGCTATCTGGGAATTAACAACAGATCCAGAAGTCCTCCAGGCTATCAGGGGTTACCATATACTTTTTGTTTCCGCCCCTCCTTCTCGTGTGCACATGCGGGAACCTTCTTTTTCCCCGGAGGTTGCAAAGGCGTGTGATGAGGAGATTTTACGCTTACTAAGTAAGGGAGCTATAATAGCTACGGCTCCTTCCGAGAACCAGTTCTTATCCAGTTTTTTCTTGGTTCCGAAACCCTCAGGAGGTATGCGTTTCATATTGAACCTCAAAGACCTTAACCTTTATCTCAGTCCACAGCATTTTCAATTGGAGGACTGGCGAACGGTAGTCCAACTCATGATTCCAGGATCCTGGATGGTGACTCTAGATCTGGAAGACGCCTATCTTTTACTGCCTATAGCACAGGAATATCGTCATTTCCTTCGGTTTCAGTGGAAAGAGATTGTCTACGAGTTTACAGTTCTACCCTTTGGTTTGTCCACGGCACCCTATACATTCACCAAAATTCTACGCCCAGTAGTGGCTCATATATCTGAGAGCAGAAGAGTACTGCTCCGTTATCTATCTAGATGATCTCCTCCTTTTTGGTCTCTCAGAACAGAATTGTTTACGCAATCTAAGAGCTTCCATGGACTTGCTATCGTCGCTCGGATTTCTCCTGAACTACAAGAAATCTCAGCTAATTCCAGCACAAAGGTGTAAATATCTGGGTTTTATCTTCGACTCAGTGCAACAGTCTGTTGCGATTCCACAGAAGCGGCGCAGGAATCTACTCAGATTAATGTTGAGTATCTCGAATAAACGCAAATGCCAAATCCGAAGCTTCGCACGCATGATTGGATCTCTGATTTCAGTCTGTCCCGCAGTTCAATATGGCCTTTTATATACCAAGGCCTTGGAAAGAACAAAATTACGAGCTTTGGCATACTCCAGAGATAGTTATTCGGCCACTATGGATATTCAGTTCTACCTCACTGAGGATTTTCAGTGGTGGATTAGGGTTTTTCAAACCCAAAACAAGCTAATTTCATCCGTTCCAGGGTGGCAGCTCGTGAAATTTTCTCGGACGCTTCTCTATCGGGGTGGGGGGGCTTCCTGTGGGAAACTCCGCACCCATGGATGGTGGTCCGCAGAAGAGAAAACTAGCCATATAAATTTGTTAGAGTTTAGGGCCGCCTTCTACGCTCTTCAATGCTTTGCACCAGACTTGCGGGACTGCGATGTTCTTCTCAGAATAGATAATACAACGGCTATTGCCTGTATTAATCGCTTTGGTTCCGTCCAATATCCTTATTTATTTGCTATAGCTAGACAGATCTGGACCTGGTGCGAAAATCGCAACCTTATGGTTTTCGCGTCTTACATCGCTTCTATCGAAAATACGATCGCAGATCAGGAATCCAGAGTTATCAGCGCGGATACAGAATGGTCTCTATCAGAGGATGCTTTTCATCGTTTGTCACTAGAATTTGGTCCTTTTGACCTTGACCTTTTCGCTTCAATCATCAATGCGAAATGCACGGCCTACGTATCTTGGTTCCCAGATCCGGGCGCCATAGCAATCGACGCTTTTACACTCTCGTGGGCTGACACAAAGTTCTTCGCTTTTCCCCCTTTCATCCTTTTACCTCGAGTTCTCAGGAAGATCTTAAATGACCAAGCGCAAGGAGTCGTGGTGGTACCATGGTGGCCATCACAGTCCTGGTTCCCACTATTCCACCGCCTTCTGGTTGGAAAACCTGTGATTTTTTAACCAGCCTACAATCTCCTCTCTTCTCCTTTCAGAGATTGTCACCCTGCTTGGAGGACCCTTTCCCTGGCGGCAGGACTCTTATCAGGCAGGCCTTTACTAACCGCGGAGTACCTCCAGGAGCAATAGAGGCTACACTGGCTTCCTTGTCAGAGGCAACAATCAAGCAATACTCTAAACCCCTGAGAGACTGGTGGTTTTTCTGCCAGAGGTCAACTGTCTCTCTCTGGTCACCAGACCCTACACAATTCCTTAATTTTCTATCGCAAGAACTTAAGCAGACAAGGTCATATTCTGTTAGCAACACCATGCGATCGGCGATTTCGTTAATTTCGGACAATGAGATCGGAAACCATACACTAATTAGGCGTTTTTGTAAGGGAGTGGGGGTTCTTAAACCCCCTCGGCCGAAATATGATTACGTTTGGGATCCGACCCCTGTGTTAGCTAAGCTGGCTTCATTTTATCCACACGATACTTTACCGCTTAAGGTACTTTCGAAAAAATTGGTCCTCCTCCTCGCCCTCGGCACGGGTCAGCGAGTGCAAACACTCGCATCGTTCAGGATTTCGCAAATTTTATTTAATGATAAGCTCATTATCCGCATCCCGGATAGACTCAAAACGTCTGCTCCTGGACGTTCTCAACCGTTGTTTTGTTTTTCTCCATTTGCGGGAAATGAAAATCTCTGTATTTTTAGTTTAATGAAGACCTATATAGAAGTTACCAAAGACCTTCGTTCATCTTCCGGCGATAAATTATTCGTCTCTTGCACGAAGCCTTATAGGGCAGTAGGCCCACAGACCATTAGCCGTTGGATACGATCAGGTCTGGAGGAATGTGGAGTGAGGACCGATTTGTTTACAGCGCATAGTATTTACAAGGCACGCCTCTACCTCGTCAGCGGCTCAGAAAGGTGTCTCTTTAGACTTAATTAAGCGCGCAGCCGGATGGTCGGATCAATCGCGCGTCTTTGCAAAATTTTACAATCGCCCCATAATAAATCCAGAGGATTTCTCTGATAGTGTTCTAAGACCGTGAACAGGTTCTCTCCTAGGTTTAGCTTCGATTAAGCTTGCGTGCGCGGGTCTTAGGTTTTGGACAACATACGAATGTCAACCTCAGACTTAGCTATAATACATTTATTCCTGCTTATAGGTTTTTTCTTTTCTCGTCATAGGACACCTGCCGCTAATCCCGCTAATATTTTTTAGTTGACATTATATTCATGTACTGGTGTATCATTAATTTTGGCGATTTCACAACTGTTTTTTCTTTTTTTAATCATCCCCTGTAGTCAGGGGTGATCTTAGTAAAGGTTCATACGATAATTAATCTGTCAGTGAAATTCTTTCCCATACCAGATACACAAATCGCCATCTAAACATCTACAATTTCCATCCGGACGAGATAGGGCATAATTAATAAATCAAACGAACTCACCGAGTAAAGTTCGATTTGAATTATGCCTGATATCTCGTCCGGATGGACTCCCTTCCCACGGTTAAAAACCGTCTCCCGCCCTAGGAATGGGTAGGCGATTTGCGGAGTTCTAAAAGAATGAAGTTGGCAGCCCGCGTGGCGGCCTGCTTGGGCGCGCAGCGCCTGCACCGCCTGCACCTTTTTTAGTTTGGCGGGTTTTTTGAACAGTTGGTGATAGCGCGTACAAGGACACGACTACAATTTCCATCCGGACGAGATATCAGGCATAATTCAAATCGAACTTCACTCGGTGAGTTCGTTTGATTTATTAATTCTTTGTTATTTATTATATAACGATTAATATGTTTCTTCTATTGAAGGTAAAAGTCGATAATTCTAATGTTGATAACACTGTGATTATGGAAATTATTTTGAAATCATGTGAGATAGTAAAAAAATTCATAACTAATTAAAAAGTTTGTTAAATAAAGATTGATAAACAACATGAATTTTTATTATTTATAGAACTTCTCAAGATGGCTAAGATTTGTATCTTATTTGCGTTTCTGCCGCACCTATTATGTACCATGGTACATGGAGCAACTTTGTGTTCGGAATACTTCACACATGCATTCGACCCTGAGACAGGCAAGATATATGGTCGGATCGAAATCGTTTCTCCGCCAGAAAATGACGAATTTTATTTAAAAGTAGCCTTAAACGCTACCGCTGATTCTCTGGTAAGTGTATGTTTTAAACTTTCAATATTATTAAGAATGCAGAATACCATTGTATAAGTTTGTAGCCGTTAATACAGGTAATCTTTAATACATTTAGCACATTAAAATAAAGTCTTTTCAAAACCTAAGTTTTTCTACTGAGGACCATACTGTTATGAGTGCGATATACCGCACATCAGACGACGACTTCGCACGCGGCAAGGTATCAGATAACACCTGCCGCATGCGACGAAAACGAGTATCCGGAGCGAAGTACGAATCCATCGAAGCCGCGCATACAGTTGCTAACGGAACAACTGTTTACTAAACAATAAGTGGCCTGACAACAGGGCCAAGCGCGATTAATATAAAAAGGAATGGAAAGGAAGGAAGGCGGGTCAATCTAAGCTA